TAGTCTTCTGGCTTCGGCGTAAGAGATGTTCCTAGTACTTTTGTAGTCTGGATTTCTTTTTCCGATTTCCATTTTGGGCACAAGCGAGAAAATGCTGGGTGGTCACCCTTGCAATTTATACACAAAGGCGCAGCGGTACAATTATCAGAATCGTGGCCAATCTCTGTGAGCCATCGGGCGCATGTGAGGCTGCCACGACAAGACGTCTTAGAATGGCCGAAACGCTGGCATTGGAAACATCGCATAGGGTTTGGAATATAAGGTCTTACAGGAATATTTAGATATCCGGCCTTAATATCTTAGGCAGATCAGGCGTGTTGAAGGTAAGGATCACGTGTTTTCGTGTCTATCAACTTACCTTCCTTACGCATCTTGATCCCCTTCCGCCTTACACCGCAGACATTTTGTTCGGATAACTCAGAAGCGATCTCTTCTTCAGAAACATACAGAAGGTCGAATTCTGAGATTACACCACGACAAAAATTCAGTGATTTATGGGGTGTTACAGTGACATTGGCTTGCCCAAGTTGAGTAATCTGAAGTAAAGAAGCAGACTGGGTGGCTGAGTTTGAATCAATAAGCAAGTCTCCGGAGCGGAGACGCTTTATGTTTCTCGGCTCACCAATACAAGACTGGATGTATTTGTTTATTACGAAAGGAGACATCTTATGCATTTCGCCAGAAGGACTAGAGATGACTAGGAAACGGGGACTATTGTTATGATTTTTTTTATTTGCATCTGTCCGTAATTTTTTGCAGATTTTCAGAACTAGGTTACGTTGAGTGAACTGGTTTTAGTAGAGAGACGTTTCAGAACTAGGTTGAATGATTGGTTTATTAGTAATGGTTTCAGAACTAGGTTGAGTGACTGGTTTAGTAGGAGACATTTCAGAACTAGGTTGAGTGACTGGTTTAGTAGTAGGCGTTTCAGAGCTAGGTTGAGAGACTGGAGTGACTTCAAAATTTTTTAAAAAAATATGTGGATTTACCATATTGAAAGTAAGAAAAGATTCGGGTCCGACGGCCCCGCCCACCACGGAGCCCAACAAGGGAACACAGATTCCTGTGTTAGGGCTAGCCGGACCTATAACGCAAACTGAAGCCCCACAGTCGGCTTTCCCGAAAGCAGGTACTTCCCGAGAGCTTGACCCCAAGCCACTGACACAAGGACTAGTGACCAGCCGATTGACAAACCCGTGAGGACGACTAAGGTGCCTCCCGTTTAGCTGAAGCAGAGGCCAAAGTAGTGTGTTGGGGACAGTACCCTCGCCCCTCAACTACCAGGACCCTCCTTTCCAGCGACACGGGTCTCCACGCACGGCAAACACGTGGGCAGTTTTCTTTTCTCGCCACTCGAAAACTAGAGACAAGGTCTGTTCCAGTCTCTCGTGACGAGCCCCAAACTCCGTAGAGAGAAACCACGAGGGAGAAGGGAAGGGAAAAAGTACCAGCCAAGAGGAGAGGAGACGGAAAGAGGATAGATCACTGGGGCTCCAGGATCGTGTCACCCGTCTCACCAAGAAGATGATCCCCTGAAGGGCTAGGGTACCTCGGGATTGCCACACCCGTACTCACAAAAGTGAGCCCCCTGAGGGCGGTTTTAGAAGGGAAGTGAGAGAGTTGGGTTCGAGTAGTTGTCCCTGCCGTAGGTACAATTGCTGATTGCTGGTTCAAGTGGCTTAAATGCATTTTATCTGCTGCCACTAGTTTTAGAGGGGGTCGAAGTTCGGTATCTCGCTGAGCCCTGTAGGTTAGTTTAGCACTTGTTAAACATTTCAACTTTTGATTTTCAATTACCTGCTTTTTCACTTACCTCCCAAGTAGAGGCGAAGTTTATTAGCGTCGAGTTGACGAAGTGTAAATTTTAAAGAGTTAATTAAAGGGTTTTAACCCTTCTTCTGTGTAGTTTCCTGCTACTCCTGTATCCAGATAGAAGTTCACCCGCCTGGAAACTACACGGTGAAACACCGAAATTTGGAGAACGTCGACTTTCACCGGTGAATATCAACATTCACATAGTCGCTTGCTGTAGGTCCGAAATATTTTCCAAATACTCTTATTTCTGACTTACAACGGTCAATGTCGACATTCACTGTGTACTAATGATGAATGTTGAACATATAAGAATATTATATTTTCTTCTCCGTAATTCAGTCGCAAAAAACGCATTTGAGACTTAAAATAAGAACGTAAAACACACAGTACGTTCAAAAGGAGAAAGAAAAATAATAGAATTTAAAAACTTACCAAATTATGTGATTCAAATCTTATTTATTGCAGAAACTTAAACTATTATGACGCTTTGAATTGCACAAGAGGCCCTTGCTTTTAAAACTGCATTTATTTATAGAACACTTCTTTTTGCAATGACAGCATGTACATATACTCCTCTCTTTTCGACCTACACCACAGCATATCTCTGATAGTCGACATACGCCGGTGAGGGTCCGAATGTACAAGAATGTAATGCAATATTCGACCTTTCAGTCGATCGATGTATTTGGTGAATGTTGACATTCTCCGATGAAAGTCGATATTCTTCAATTTCGGTCCTTCACGGTAACATATACATTAGATAGAACTATTACATAAGTTAAAGCGATTCCTAAATTTTAGTTTAAACTCTATATTAACTACTTTAGGCAGGTGAACTCATGTTAGATGGGATGACAATTACTTAATAATTTAAAGTAAAATAGAAGGATAGAAAAGGGCTTCTCTACTGCATATTTTCACTTCATCTTGCCTTACTAAATTTTAAAGCTTTTTATTTTTCACTCGGTAAGAATTTACTAATTTATTTACAGGTTCTTTTATATTCATCACATTTTCTAAATAAAATTGATGCGTCTACTTAAATCCTTTGAGGTAACAGATGTTGGGGTATAGAGATGCATTTAATAGAAAACAAAGTTATGTCGTACGGATCACTATATTGTGTCTTATGTTGTTGTTATATGATATGTATGTAAATCATTAAAAAATATAACTTGATAGTCGACGATTGTCCAATTGAAGAAACAAAACAAACACAACAAAACAAAATTCTCCATTCAGGATTGGGGGAAAATATTCCATAATTTTGAGTAAACTTCAAGAATGACTGTCTTACATATAAGCTGACATGAACATTTTGGAACATCTGTTCACTCAAAGGTGCAATGGCTCAATTCCAAGAAACGCATATCTTGTAGATTTCTAAATCCTCTCTTCCTGTTTTCATAACATTCTCAGAGACACACAACCGGTATAGTGGCTAGTGTCGCTGACTGCAGTGCCGAAGGGCCCGGGGTCGAACCCCGGAGGAGGCATGGATATTTGTAAATGAATAAAGTCCGTGCGGCATGGGAGCACTCTAAATATGCGGCGAGTCGAAAGTCATCTCGAGTGGTTGGTGGTAGGGGAAGAGAAGTGGGAGACTGTCGGACCCGTCCCTCCTGGATGCTCTTCATCAAAATTGGGGCGTGAAACTTGTAAAGTTAATGAAATTTTTTTTTGGAAACAAGAGAGATGAAAAATTAGATACACGCCTTCGACCGGAATCGAACCACGGATCTCTGGAATATCGGCCCAGCGTGCTACCGATACACTTCGAAGGCACGCTAGGGAAGTGGGAGAAATACCTTATATACTCCCCTTTTTAAAGGGCGACTAGGGTCTTAGGGGACCTAGTCGCCAAATCCTGGGTGTGGAGAATCATCATCCACAACCCTTTCAGTTCTGGCGCCACTGTAGAGACATTAAGATCTTTTTGGAACAAGAAAGATGAAACATTAGCTATCGCCTTCGCCGGGAATCGAACCGCGGACCTCTGGAATACCGGCCGAGCTTTCAGAACCACTACACCACGAAGGCACGCTAGGAAGGTGGGAGAAATACCACATATACCCCCCCCTTTTAAGGGGCGACTTGGGTTTTTAGGGGACCCATTCGCCAAATCCTGGGTGTGGATATTCGTCATTCACAAACCTTTTAGCTCGGGCGCCACTGTAGAGACATTAGATATTTTTTGGAAGCAGGCAAGATGGAAAATTAACCGCTTTCGTCGGGAATCGAACCACGGACCTCTGGAATACTAGCTCAGCGTGCTACCGTTACACCACGAAGGCACGCTAGGAAAGGGGGAGAAATACCTTATAAACTAATCTAAATCGCAATGTCCCCTGTATGGTGCTGAAGCCTGTTGCCAACGACAGGCGTAACTTGCGCTCCTTGCCACGAGGAATTTCGTGGGCTTGGGCTGACTGTAGGTCAGACAAATGAACATCAGTCAACAATATCAACAATAAAGCGTTTAATGAGTATAAACGCATTTTAGAATATAGGTAGAAGAGAAAAACAGGGCAGATGTAGATTCCTTCGAATACTCCATCGCTTAGCTCAAAAATTCCTGAACTATGAGAACTATTTAAATCGATTTTTTTTAAGCGAAACGTTTTCTTCGTCCTTCTTTAAAGTGAAGTTACATTTTTCCCTTCGGATTTAATTAGAAAGCTCTTCTTCACGAAGGCGTCTTTCCTCTTAGGTAGATAGTTCTCACGTGCTGTGAGGCATTCTAGTCCAATCTAGTCAATTCTAGTCCAATCTAATGCCTAGATTAAGACATTCTAGCCGTTAATCTCTCTCAGAAATGCATTACTAAAATGCAGCACCTTTTCCGTTGCTCGTTGGCTGCTAATTGTAAAAATATAAATTGTATATTTTCTGAAATTATCTGGATTGATCTGAAATGAATTGCCAACGAAGTGATTGAAATCCGGGACAATAAAACTGATAATAATAAATTTCAAAACCACATCTTACTGATAGTATCATATACATCCTGATTTTAGAATAAAAGAATGCAAAGAATGCGGATTTTAGAAAAAAATCCGTATTCTTTGCATTGTCTAGTGACCTCAGTATAGAGAAAATGGGCAATATAATCCATAAGCTACGAAAAAATATAAGACATTCATTTATAGAACATGTACTGGTCTTTAAAATATAATGAGTCTAACCTTCCACAGTACGTATCACTGTATGAAAGTACACCAGTTTGAGGGTCAAGACACCTACAACAAAATCCAAAATCACCAATTTTTACTTGTAAATCTTTATCTAAGAGTAAGTTGTCGCATTTCAAATCTCTGTGGGCAATACCCTTTTTGTGGCAGTAACGCAGAGCTTGGCACATTTTCTTACACCAGTTTCGACCTCTGTCTTCGTCTACGGCCCCATGCCTGTAATAAGAGATAAGTATTAGTGAAACTATTGTTAGAATCACAGTGTTAAACTTTTTTGCAAATAGCCTACTTTCTTAGATACTATGGTACGAATCACAATATATCTTAAACCCAATAATGATTAAAGGAGTTCGGGAACTTGTAATTGATTAATTGTTATATTTTTTAGCATTCAGTTCTTTGGCTTGTAGAGTTCCTCATTGTGTAATTCTAAGTTACTGTTGGAAGTGAAGAATCTTAAGAACTAATAAGCGAATAATCCCTTGAGTTCGTGTGACAGCAAACAACAAGATAGAAGGGTAAACTAACCCTTTATTATTCCAACTAAAGTTTAACAAAACTCCGTCTTGGAGTGTACAATAAAGCCGACACTTCGGCTTGAACTTAAGATGCTAAGAATTAACCTAAACTAATCTAAACTAAAGAGGTATAGCCGAAGCTATCAAGATTCGAACAGATTTGGCCCCTTAACATTAATAGACTGCAAAGCTATCAAGGGCTTAAAGTATGGCCGACCGTGATAATAGCTTACGAGAGAGTAGCCTAAAACAGCGGACGCGTGCAGCCAGAACACCTGGTATCTCTCTCCCTAAGATCGAAGAACTTCGCGGTTAAATACCACTCTTCCTCATTATGTATTCAGACGTGATTCTAAAACTACGTTCTGGGCGGAAGTGTAAGTTGAAGTTAAGAATCGATAGGAAAGGAACTTTAACTCAAAATTTAACTGTTAATAAAATTAACATAATCTTTACAAGCTTATTCTTTCTTAACAGCCTACAGTTTATTTCGACTACAGTTTTTATAATTAGATTTATCAAAATAAATAGTAGCTTGACACTTATGTGAATTATTTAATGATTAGATAGCCATGTTTATTTATAACCTAGGCAAAATTATTTGAAAAAAAAAAAAAAAAAAAACCCTCTGCATAGTGTTTCTTCTCATACGAGAAGTCAACAACTCATACTTTCATCAATATAAACTCAGCCAACAATATTGGAAATATGGTGAAAATGATATTGTAAGAATCGTAAAGGCATCTCGTATCAGATGGTTGGGCCACGTGTTTAGATATGATGATGCATTTTCAACCAAAAATATAACCTTTTCGAGAATTGAGGGACTAAGACGAAAAGGAAGACCACCCACTAGATGGATAAATGATGTCGAGAAAGATTTAAGGTTAATCAGAGTTAACCGATGGAAGGCTATTGCGCCGAATGGGTTCAGGTGGAGAAAACTTGGAGAGGCAGCCTTGTCCTGCAACAGGCTGTGGAGCTTATGAAGAAGAAGAAACTCAGCCAACTCTTTACTGTTAGTTTAACATCTTCCAAAAAGTTTCATCTTTTCTTTCACCACGGAGAATACTTTCAAAAGGGCGGTTTTAAACACTTTAACTCAGTGGCGTCTTCCTAGCCTCAAAAGGGCGGTTTTATATATACTTCACTGCCTGATCCACCCAACAAATTTTACCGATGCCTTTGTACCAACTCAGTGCCTGTCCTCGAAGCATAGTGGTTGCTATGGTGATCTTTTGCAGCTTTGAAACTGAATAGTGTCCTTAGTGAACTTCTACCATCGACAGTAATGGCCGGTTTCGTCGACGCTCGCTAGTATGTAGGATGAACTGAACTTTCTGTCGGACTCCCTGGAACGGTGCAGTTGGCAATTTTTAGGGGTAGCGGGTAGAATAAATGCTGCGGAACTTAACCTCTCGAATACTCGCCGAGAGAGATGCCGTTACACCACGAAGGCATGCAGAAAGGTGAGAGAAAATACCTTATAATTTCGTGTCTGTTTGTTCGATGGTAGATATTCAGATGGGGATAATTCGCTTTACAGAATATTAGTAACGTCTTATTTTTATTGTAATTGTAGAGACATTAGGTATTTTTGGAAGCAAGAGAGATTGAAAAATGAGCAACGCTTTCGCCGGGAATCGAACCACGGACCTCCGGAATACGCGCCCAGCGTGCAGACCACAACACCACGAAGGCAGGCTAGGAAGACAGGAGAAACACCTTATATAATTAATGACCTAGCAAAGTTATCTGGGACCCACAGCAGACCTTGTAGAGAAATTAGGATTTTTTAGAAGCAGGCAAGATGAAAAATATGCAACGCCTTCGCCGGGAATCGAACCACGGACTTTGGAATACGCGCCCAGCGTGCAGACCACCACACTACGAAGGTACGCTAAGAAGGTAGGAGAAATACCTTATATATACTCCCCCTTTTAAAGAGCGACTGGGGTTTTTAGGGGACCCAGTCGCTCCTGGGTGTGGAGAATCATCATCAGCACTCGTTTAGTTTGGGCACCACTGTAAAGCCATTAGAACATTTTGGAAGCAGACAAGATGAAAAATATGCAACGCCTTCGCCGGGAATCGAACCATGGACTTTGGAATACGCGCCCATTGTACAGACCACCACACCACGAAAGCACGCTAAGAAGGTAGGTGAAATACCTTATATATACTCCCCCTTTTAAAGAGCGACTGGGGTTTTCAGGGGACCCAGTCGCCAAATCCTGGGTGTGGAGAATCATCATCAGCACTCGTTTGGTTTGGGAACCACTGTAAAGCCATTAGGACATTTTGGAAGCAGACAAGATGAAAAATATGCAACCCCTTCACTGGGAATCGAACCACGGACTTTGGAATACACGGCCAGTGTGCAGATCACCACACTACGAAGGCACGCCAAGAAGGTGGGAGAAATACCTTATAACCTTAAAACATTAATTTTCGGTCCTTCTCATATTTAAAAATTTCATGATTTCTGCATCATTATTTCAGTTAGGGGAGTATAAGAACAAAAATTCTACCTTTGCACATACTCGATTACTGATCCTCCATGTGCGAGTTCCATGAACACATAAATGCGACTCTGAATTTTAAACATTTGAATCACTTGAATAATATGGCGATGACGTAGCCTCGGCCATATGTCCAATTCACGTTTCAAGAACTTTTCAGTAAATAACGGCGATGCTTTAGCTTTGTTTATTATCTGAAAAGAATGAAAATCTGTTATTAATAACAACCTCATGAAACTAATGACTTCATTAAACTTCAGGCAACTGAATACCAAAAAACAATAATATCAATTTTGCTTCAATGTATCTGCACTCACCAGCGCGGCTAAACAATAAAACTGCTGAATAATGGTAGTTCGAACTGGATTCAAGTCCCAGTTAATGAGCTGGATGCATGGAAATTTTCTTGGTTTTTCCAGTGTGTAATATAGACTTGAGCCACTTTACCTTAAAAAAAATCCTCGATGGAGACGGATAACCGAAGTCTGTTTTGTTACAACCTAATGGTTTGTTTGACTACGGCAAAGCACTCAAGGGCTGTGTAAGGGCAGGGATGTCTTCGTGGAGGATTTCTAAAGGAAACTAGATAGTATACACGTTGAACATTCAAATCTAATGAAATCGAAATATCGTAAAAAAATATTTTATTCTTTTTATTAATGCGTGTACTTTATAATTACTTCTTATAATGAGATTTAAAAAACTCTCAATACTCAAAGTGTTAAGGCAGAAAACCCTGGGGCTAAAGAGAAGGATGCATTCGTGGAGGACTTTCTGAAAGAAACTGGCCTAAACTCGCATCATGCATGGAGAAAGACACGAAAACTCCCACCTAACCAAAATTCTAACCCTTATTAAACCATTAGTGTTTAGTAGTTTTATCTGCTCAGTGACTAACGTTTCGTTTAGCCAACTTTTAGAGATTCATTCTGGATTAATATTTACCTCATTTTTATATTAATTTATTTTTGTGAACATTTCTATCGGGGGAGGAGATTCACTAAGTCTAAAATTGCACGCACAAAAGATTCAAATGCCGTTCTCTACGCCCTTTCCAGTGAAACACTTATGACCTCAAATTTTAAAGCTTGAAATGCAATACTTGTGAAGCAATAGGCTCACAGAAACTAAGTTTCCCACCATGCTATTAGAAATGCCCACTTGAGTTTTACGTTTATGCGTTGTGTAGTCATAAAAATGCAAAAATAATGCAATACATCAGGAATATAAAATGAGTAATAAATGAAAATAGAATTAAGAAAATTTTATCTGCAAACCTTAGATCAAAATCTAACATCTCGCAGAATTTGCTATTAAAATTTAAAATGTAAAATAATAATAATAATTGAAAAATATGAAAACTCATATAATTAAAAAGACATGATCATCTGATCTTTATATGCTAATATAGCTCCCCAGAACCTGAAGTTACAGAATATAATGTCTTGTATTTAAAGTTAGTTCGAGAGGGGAGAAATCATCCGGATGATGGAAGCCATGTGGTCAGCACGACGAGTAACCGCGACCTAGGCTATTCTGAAGTGAGGAAATTTTTGAATCAGTGGATGAAAGAGAGGTCGCATATACCGCGGCTAGAATCAGAATGCTGTCAGCAAACTAACAGCCTAGAGGACGGTTACATGATCCGTCATTCATACAACGCCAACTGCATCATTCTTCGCCATCCGGACACAAGCAGCATTTTCAGTACGGGTCTATGTGTATAGAATATTTTTGCTCAGTTCTTTTTTGTCCTGGAGTGATGTATTATTAATACACACGCTGGCCATTGACTTAGAAACCTTCAAGATTTTCATTTGAATGCGTGCTAGGGATGAAGTATGCGACGTTGGTTACACGTGGTTATAACACGTGGCTAGTATAAGTAAGGTGCAAGATTGCTTTTCATGATGAATGAAGTAAAATGGGAAAAACGGCAGATCTTTCATCATTTGAAAAAGGGCTTATTGTTGGTGCCCGTTTAGCAGGAGACCCAATTTCGAAGACAGCAAATTTTACTGAGTTTTCAAAAGCAGCCATATCAAAAGTTTTCAAAAATTGGAATCGGAACACACAGTCTTTCTCCAGAAGACGTAACTGCGGTTCCAGAACAGTTTTCCAAGACAGTGATCGACGTCGTCTCTGACGAATTGTACGGCGGAACAGTGACAGTGTAATTCAACTGACACAGATCGTCAAACAAGGCTCTCCCAACTGATTTCGGCTCGAACCATGCGCAAAGAATTGCAGAGGATTGGAATGCATAGTCGAATGCCTGTGAGAAAAACCATTCATTTCTGCCTGACATGCAAGAATTCGTTTACAGTGGTATCGGCAAAGAAGACACTGAACATCTTAGGAACATAAACGGGTAATGTGGTCGGATGAATCAGGTTACACCTTATTTTGTACTGATGGAAGAGTTCGAATTTGGCGTGAACCCCATGAAGCCATGAATTCCTCTTGCCTTACTCGCACTGTGCAAGGGTCTGATGGGAGTATCATGATATGGGGCATGTTCTGCTGACATGAAAGTGATACCTTGGTGTTCTTCGAGGGTAAACAAACAGCTATGAGATACTTAGATATACTGGCAGATCAAGTGTACCCTGCAATATTGCATTTTTACGCTGATGGCGACGGATACTTCATGGACGATAATGCAACTACACATCGCGCCAAAAGAGTTCAAAATTCGTTTGCTGAACATCAGTCTGACTTCCAACACCTTCCCTGGCCACTACATAACCCGGATCTTAACCCCATAGAAAATGTATTGGATATGGTGGAAAGACGCATCCGACAGCAGAGAGAGGAGGAGGAATAGTCTTTTCCAATTAAAATGTTCGATATAAAGTTAACGGGAGTAGCATTCTCCCAGTTTGAAAAAGGCCTCAGTTTTTTGGAAACCAAAACCCAGACTCTGACAGCTTTGCTGAACTAAAGTCTGCTGTGCACAATGCGATACAATACCATCGTTTTACTTACGGCAAAAGAAAAAGAAAACTTGATCAAAACAGTTTAGATACTTATTTTTCTTAAAGGCACTTCAGAAATCTCTTTTGCTGTACCATCTAGCATGCCATCAATCATACAGCCTCCTGATCACAAATGTTCCCTTTACTTGATCATGAGTCTTCAGAGGGCGAGGCTGAAGTTGATTCACCCCAATCGAGTAGTCTCATCTGCATATTCTTCTAGTTTCATCAGTCGACTAGTTTCATCGGCAATCGAAGGACGAGATATGTAGTAAAGTAATTCTTCATTTATTTAAAAATTTTATTTATAATCTATTTTATTTAAAATGCATTATTCATTTGTTTTAGCCTTTTTAATTGTTTATTTGATAGTATTTATAACTTTTATCTCACATATCCTGAGATATGCGTAGCGAACCTAGTAACATTTGTAAAGGCTATGTCTCTTTGGGACCATACAAATTAGACTTTATAAAAGACTATTGAAGAATACTTCTAGCCTTGTGAAACAAAACAAAAATCAGAAGAAGGGTGTATAAAACTCTTTTATTCAAACCTAAAATTAACAAATGACCCAATTTGGGTTACAAGAAGCCACGCACTTCTGGCTTAACAGAATAATGTAACAACTAATGATTTAAAGGTGTAGTAGATTAGCCTAACGGCTCACAGAATACTTTAATGCTCAGGAAGAGCTCTGGTTTTTAACAAACCGGAGAGACAAACCCTAATGGCTAGAACACTCAACGCCGCTCGCGCAAGTCGCTAATGAACACAGCACTACGAGACCTGGAATAGGCAGACATGCTCTAAAACTAAATTACGAAACTCTTACTTAAATAGCACTTCATTTTACCTTAATCTGAATAAACTCTCGCTGTCTGATTTACATTCTGACAGGAAAAGCGTGGGTGAAAAGAGAATAATAGGAAAGTGCTAACTTAAAATGAACTATTAGTTAAAAATAAATAATAAACCTCACACATTTTATGAACATATTGATGGTGTGAATGGTCTCTGTAACGTAACTCGTTCGTAAGGCGAGGAACTTCTCTATATATACTGCTGAGTATAGAAAATCCTCCGCAAAGACATCTTTTTGCTTAAGCAAGTAGCGTTGCAGTATTTCGTATTTTGGGTTAATCTTCCATAAGCGGAGTAAGTTGGCGCCAAACTATTTTGGCCTTGAAAATTTGGTGAATTTTCTTCGCAGCAATGAGAGCACTAAGATGGGATTTTTAAAAGTAAACAGAATAGTAACTTTTAAGTTTTGCTTGCTAACTTTTAACTTTTAAGTAGTGAAATGCCTTTATTTTATGTAAACAGAATAGTAAAATGAGATGATAAAATACTAGATGAGTAAAACAAAGTCCATCAGCTATGCAAGTAAAAACATAGTCTCATCTATGTAATTCATGATAAAATAGTATAATGAATAATAAAATAATAAATTGTATAACACTTTCCTTGGTCACCAGAATTGTCAACTAAGTAAATATATTCAAATCCTTTAACAACGGATGCATCATAAACTCACTAAAATATACAAGTTGCTATCGTTGAATTCAACACACTAAAGAACATTCGTTCAAAATTTTAAACATTCCAGATCTTTCTATTGCCGCATGCAAGAAACAAAATTTAAAAAAAAAAAAAAAAAAAAAAAAAAAAAAATAGGTGCTACTTTGGTAGACGGTTGCCCGGATTTTGGCGATTTTTTGGCGATGTTCTTTTGGCGAGGAAAACATAGTCTCATCTATGTAATTCATGATAAAATAGTATAATGAATAATAAAATAATAAATTGTATAACACTTTCCTTGGTCACCAGAATTGTCAACTAAGTAAATATATTCAAATCCTTTAACAACGGATGCATAATAAACTCACTAAAATATACAAGTTGCTATAGTTGAATTCAACACACTAAAGAACATTCGTTCAAAATTTTAAACATTCCAGATCTTTCTATTGCCGCATGCAAGAAACAAAATTTAAAAAAAAAAAAAAAAAAAAAAAAAATAGGTGCTACTTTGGTAGACGGTTGCACGGATTTTGGCGATTTTTTGGCGATGTTCTTTTGGCGAGTAATACAACTTATGGTTAACCCACTGCGAGATAAGTTATTTATGGTAACCGATACTTTGTTGTCATTTTATTTAAAAAATAATGTGTTTTATTATGCATAAATTCCGTGTTTTAAATTTTATTTATGGCTTCTAAATATTAAAAATCAATTAAATTTTGCATTTTTATTTGAAATAATTTTTTTTTTGTTTATCATATTCTATGAAATTTTATGTTGTGGATGATGTAATCAATGACGTCACCTTACTTTAAAAGTAATTGGTTTTAATATGTATAAATTTAATCTAATGTTTTAAACATGTTTATGGCTGTTAAATATTAAAATACAATTTAATTTTGCATTTTTTTAAAAATGATTTTATTATGTATGAATTTTTAAACAAATTTAATTCTAGGCGTGATGTAATAAGCTCTCTGATTGGTTATAGAATATTTGTGCATTAACGAGCTGTAATCAGCTCCCTTATTGGTTACTGAAAATTTGCGGATTTCCACGCCATTTTAAAATTTAATTCATTTCTTGGAATTCCTTCAAAGATGTCTCTCTCTAAGATGAATGTTGTTATTGGTAAGTACCAAGAATTATTGGTATCGGAATAAAAAAATTGTCCTTTGAGACCTTACTTTGGCCAGCCTGGCTTTCCTAATCAAAGATTTGTTTACAAATTGTTACAAGGGTCAGAGGAAATTTATTTTAAGTTTTTGGAAGAAACCTCGCTAATTGCTTCTTCAATGAAGTGCGAGAAATGTGAATCACAGATGAAGATGGTTAAAAGAGCCGATTCCGGGGATGGCCGTATATGGTATTGTGGTCCCGGTGGAAGAAATAATCGCTGTAACGGTAAAAAAAGTATTAGACATTCCTCCTTTTTTACCGGCAGTAAACTTCCAATTGCTGTCATTTTAGCTCTAGTGTACGAAATATTCATGGGTTCTTCGAACGATAGAATTCAATGTGAGCTCGGTATTTTTTCAGAAGCTGTAGCCGACTGGCGCAGTTATGTAACCGACGTTTTAATTAATTTTGTAGAAACTAAAAAAACGGAGAAGATCGGAGGGCCAGGGAAAATCGTGGAGATTGATGAGTCCAAAATAGGGAAAACGAAAGTTTAACAAGGGTTGATTCATTGAAGGGCAGTGGGTTTTTTGGGGGAATAGAGCGCGATTCAGGTAGCTGTTTTTTAGTTGCTGTGCCACACAGAACAGCGGATACTCTTCTTCGCTTTAATTAAGGTTTGGATCGAACCGGGAACCCAGATTATTTCGGACTGATGCTGGAAAGCTTATGACCGTTTGAGCGAAGAAGGTTTTAAATCACTTGCAAGTTAACCATTCGCTCCATTTCGTAGATCCTGAAACCGGAGCTCATACTAACACAGTTGAAAGACAATGGCGTGACTTCAAAATTCTTTGCCGGTTTACAATCGTCGTCAAGGAGATTTTGAAGGATACATAGCCTGGTATTTGTTTAGGAAAATTTGCTCTGCATTGAATGAGCATCCATATGTTAAATTTCTCGAAATTATTAGAGACATAGACTGGGAAGATTGGCATGTACTTCAGGGAGGGGCGGTTAAAGGATCTTCGAAATCTTAAAAACAATACCTATTATTGGATTTTTTTTCAAATTTTTTTTGTTATTTTTAATCTTCATGATCCATTAATTTGGCTCTAAATTGCTTTATCTATTTATAATTTTTTGTTTTTTTTTTAATTTTTTTATTCCTGCCCTTGATATTACATTTTTCAAATTTTTTTCATTGATATCTAAATTATGATTCCGATTTTTTTGTGGTACTTATCAATAAACAACAGATTAAATGATTCAAGAAAAATGTGAGTACATATTTTTCTTTTATTTTATAATTGCATACTTCAATTTTTGTTAAAAAAATTCATACACTATTTTTAAAAATTGCTGAGATAATTATTGTCACATATGTTTTAATGTTAATTATATTCTATACAACGTATTTTAAAGTATTTGAATTTAATAATATTCTAATTCTTTTAAATGTTGGATGATGGTTTTTAATTCGATATTCAATTTCAGTAATAATTTAATCTAATTAAACGTTGGCACAATGTTTTTATAGCGGTGTTTTTATTCTCTTCTTTGCTATATGAAAGTAATAACCAAACCAAAACCGAAAGTAACAACCTTACTTTAGTATTTTATACTCATAGTAAATGTATTTATTTACACTTGCCTGCCATCTTAAAAAACGACATTTTCAACAAAAAATTAATCCATTACTTCTAACGATATTTATTTTTTTTTAAGTTTCGAATACTTTACTATGCATGAAAACAGCGTTTTTCAAGATGGCTGACGTTTGTAAAAATCGCGCCAACATATTCGCCAAACGTAAATCGCCAAAAATCCGTGCAACCGTCTAACAAAGTAGCCCCAAAAAATAACTGACCCAGAAAACATTAACTAAAAATTAAATGAAAAGATTCATAAATTATAAACTTCACGTCGTCTGAAATCCAACATTCTCCCACCAACAACAGCTTAACCTCTTGCAAATATTAAATAGTAAAACTTTTAAAAACAAACACAGTATTTCAAAATTAAATTAAGGAGAATCAGTCACCCCCAAAAAGCTCTAGGTTTCCCACAGGAAAACATACAGCCGGAAACCACAACCAAATCAAAATCGCGCCAAATTAAAAACTCCCGCCAAGTTTGGCGCTCACCCCGATTATGGAAGATTAATCGTATTTTGCTTAGTCAGATAGCGTTACTGTAAACAAATATAAAGAACTGAAATTATGAATATTTTGTCAAGAAAATACCGTTTCCGTTTAAACTATCAATTAACTCATTTTCAGTGTGGCTATATAAGAAATTTCATATATTAAGACAGAGCAGTTTCATATGTTAAGACAAAGCAGTTTCTAACAAACAGTTTTCCTTCGATGTGTTACTAAATCTTCTGTATAGATATAAGCAGTATAATAAGGTAGTTAAGTATTAGCACAACCATTTTGCGCAAAGAGGTAAATTTTAATGGGTAAATTTTAATTTTAATTTTTATGTCAATTTTAATGTTGCACTTTTGTAATTTTTTAGAGAAATGAAAGTGATTCCGTGAATTTGCAGATTGCAACTTACAATGGATATGGTTGCCTAAAGAACTGTTATGCATTTTGTTGTTAGAGTTTGACGCCTTCTATTAAGGTGTTTGCGATAATACGTGAGTACCTATAGTAATTTCAATGTCCCTCAATGTTCAAGACAATATCCTCAATGTCCCCAATGTTCAATACTCCCAAAACTGCTATGGCACTTTATGAAAATGCTTACTTTTAATGTGAAACGAGGACATATTAATTAAATTTGGCTACTAGAATTCAAAAATAGTAATCAGTTCTGATAATTTTGAATTAATTATACAAAATTGTCATTGAACACATTTATCTACTACATTAAAATTTACCTTAACAGCAAGTGGTACTGTCCCATTTTTAGATGTTTTTTCGGCAAACCGAACCGTGGCAAATGTTCCAGAATCTATTTTCCTTCCAATGTAATAGCCATTTGTAGAGAGAATGTATCTATCCTTCAGCAAGATGTTTCTTTCAGAATTTCCAGATGTATTTTGACGCAACGTATGGGAATCTAACGATTCGTTTTCTCCATAGTTAGAAATAGATATATCGGCCATTATTTCGTATCAAAAAATTTTGAAGGGAAAAAATTTCCTATCCCATGCTTAGATGGAAGAATTTGGCATTAATTTTGTAAAATTAAAAGTCCCTCAAATAAGCTGAGGCATTGAATAAAATTTGAAGAAATAATTACGAGATTGTTGCCATTATATATTACTACTGAAGAAATATTGTTTTGAAAACATGCTAAATATATAACAATACTAAATATAAAACAATAGATTAACAAAATAAGATAGAGGGGGGTAGGTAAATGTAGGAAATAAAATCCTTTATTTCAATAACATCTAAACAAATTTACATTCGTTTATCTTTCAAGAAGTAATTTATCAAAACTGTCTGGTTTAAAACACCGAAAAAAGGAATTTTATGTTTATTTAATTTGGTTTTGAAGCATTAAATTTTTACATGCAGTTTGGTGCTAGATATGGAATATTAGGTAAAACTGAATCTAAATACACAATTACCTGATGTGGTAATATTGATGGAGCACGTTCATCTTTCCTAGCATGTATTTTTGATTCCAATAAATATCTGTGGCATCAGTTATAAGAGTGGAAAGAAGTACTCTGATATGCGTTGAATCTGTTAAAGATTGTACAGTTATTAGCTTATTTTGAGGTTGTTTATGTTAGCAATTCTAATTTAAGGCTGCATTTTAACTGAATAAATGCTTTTTTCATTCATCTGGAGAACTTGTAGTTCATTTGAGTGATTTGAATGGCGTCCGTAACTTTTGATTGCAGTTGTTCTTTACATTATTTACATTTTCTGGCGGACGTTACTTCTGATTCGAAACAACGTTTTAGGCAACAAAAGGATTTAAGAAAGAGGACTTGTTGTATGTTGCAGAAGAAATGGTGCGACATTGCCTCAAAAGATCACAATAACGGAACTGAAAGAAATTATTTTGCAGAGTAAGCAGTATTTGGAAGATCCACAGTTCGTGACAGATTTTTTGGCTTAATCTCAGAATAGGCTGCATCAGTCGATGCTGTATTTACTTCTCTTATTCTTGGACACACCTTTTTATGACGTAAAATTGGTTACGCCTCTTCTTAAAAACAAGTTATAAGTATGCTATAGCTTTGTATTTAAAGAAAACTTAAATTATATTTTAACTGTGTTTAAATGGTAGGTTTATAATGTTCTGCCCGAGATTTTTTTAATTATAAATCTACTTTTGTGTGTTGTGCCGTAGCGTTTGCATTTAATGCAACGAATTATCTCTCACAAATGTAATATTAAGATACCAAACGATTGAAAACGATCATTAGCAAACGACTGAAAATATTGAATGCATGAATTAAAAATTATAACCGTAACATCTGAAAATATAGAAAGGAATTCTTCTGCTTAAAAGAATGTTTTGATTATTGATGAGTGTGTCAAACTCGGTGCTTGCTGCAGAATGGATGAGTATCTGAATCTGGATTTTTTTTATCAGTTGGAGCGAAGAGGTAAAAAGAGCGTTATTGAGTGGTGTATGGAAAAAAGTTTAATTGCAATATCGTATAAGTGCCCAATTTGTGTAACAAATATGAAACTAGTAGAGCGAAAAAACCGTATAGACAGTTTTGAGTGGATGTGTAGAGTTACTGGAGCCGAATGTAGGCATCGAATTTCAAAGTCTGCTTGAAAGAACTCCTGGTTTGCGAAGAGAATATTGAGCATGTGTGATGTTTTGCGAGTTACCTATATGTGGTTGGGTAAGTGCGGGAATAATTTTATACGAAAAAATTACGTATTGCTAAAATTACGGTGACAGATTGGAAAAGTTTTGTAGGAAAGTATGCATGGAGTTATGTTTGAAGAAGAACGTGATGTTGGGCGGGGAAGGCGTCATTGTCGAAATCGACGAAAGCAAGTTTGGCAAGCAAAAGTATCATAGAGGGAAAAGACTCGAAGGAAGATGGGTTTATGGTTTGGATGAGAGAGGGACAGATAAATGCGTCTTTAGAGTTGTTGAAAACAGAGGTGCCGAAACATTGCTAGAAATCATTAAAGAGAATGTTCTACCAGGATCGATTGTTATATCGGATTGTTGGAAAGCGTACGACTGTCTCTAATTTAAAGGGTATGCGCATCTGAAAGTCAATCATAGCTTGCGTTTTAAAGATCCAGAAACAGGTGCACATACTAATAGTATTGAGGGAACTTGGGCAGCAATCAAACGAAGTTTCCGTGGCTCTAGTAAGGCAAAAGAACAGTTTGATTCCTATCTTGCAGAATACATTTGGAGAAAGAAACACAAGAAATCCGACGCCAGCCAATAGATGCATATAGTTCTCAGTGAGATCACAGCCATATATTCTGCAAAAAAAAAGAGGACTGAAGGTAAGTTTCATTTATTATTATTGACTTAAGTAAAATATTGGGTGCTTTTCTAATATGGCAGTTTGGATGTTTGGTAGTTGCTTTATTCTGGCAGCTTTATTTTTGTTTTGTATCATTTTTCTGAACACATGTTTTTGCAACACGAATCAATGGAGTTGGTTACGCGCGAGTTTCTGCAATTCTCTGATTTTTTTAAGTGAAAGCAACTTTCTGAGTATATAAGCAATGGAGAATTTATTCAACGTCTGAATTTTTTAAGTAAAAACAGATCGATGTGCACATGGGCAATTCATCGTTCTAGCCTCGTCAAAGAATGGTTTGATCAGCAAACTTTCTGCCTCATGCCATGGCCAAGCAAAGGAGCAGATCTGAATCCCATTGAGAACGTTTGGTCTCGTCTGAAAATGACTATCAATTACAGAGGCATACGAAATGCAGACGAGCTGTGGGATGCCGCAATGTCATCTTGGCAAATCATGAAGTCTGATTCAACATTATGTCAGTCTTTGGTATCATCAATGCCTTATCGCATTGAAGATGTGGTAAGTCGAAGAGGAAAAATGACATTGTATTGATTTAAATTTATTGGACTGTTCTCCATTTCCATTCTGGGCTTTATTGCATGTCAAAATCATCTGTAAATAGAAGAATGTCTGTATAAGGTTTTGGAGACCTCCAGGTCAGCGTTCCAATCCTTTATATGTTCATAATGTCAAAAAAGTGGCCGATTTTCGATTTCTGTGTGGGGATGCATGTCTGCTAACAGACTTGAAACTCGACAGAGAATTCAAGGCAATCTGGATGCAACGCTCTATCGCGACATTCTTGAACATATCATGATGACAGAAGTATTGGACAACCATTTCTTTGACGGGCTATATTATTTTCAACAAGATAAATCCCCCATTCATCGTTCTAGCCTCGCCAAAGAATGGTTGGATCAGGAAACTTTCTGTCTCATGCCATGTAAACGCAATCCCAATGAGAACGTTTGGTCTCGTCTGAAAATGACTATCAATTACAACAGAGTCATAAGAAATGCAGACGAGCTATGGGATGCCGCAATGTCATCTTGGGAACTCATGCCGTCTGATTCAACGTTATGTGAGTCTTTGGTATCATCAATGCCTTATCGCATTGAAGATGTGGTAAGTCGAAGTGGAAAAATGAAATTGTATTCATTTAAATTTATTTGACTGTTCTCCATTTCCATTCTGGGCTTTATTGCATGTAAAAATCATCTGTAAATAGAAGAATGTCTGTATAAGGGTTTAGAGACCTCCAGGTCAGCGTTCCAATCCTTTATATTTTCAATATGTCAAAAAAAGTGGCTCATTTTCGATTTCTGAGTGAGGTTGCATGTCTGCTAACAGACTTGGAACTTGTCTCTATCGCGACATTCTTGAACATATCATGATGACAGAAGTGTGGACAAGTATTTCTTTAACGGGCTATTTTATTTTCAACATGATAAGTCCCCCATTCATCGTTCTAGCCTCGCCAAAGAATGGTTGGATCAGGAAACATTCTGCCTCCTGCCATGGCCAAGCAAAGGAGCAGATATGAATCCCATTGACAATGTTTGGTCTCGTCTGAAAATGACTATCAATTACAGAGGCATACGAAATGCAGGCGAGGTGTGGGATGCCGCAGTGTCATCTTGGACCCTCATGCAGTTAATTCAACATTATGTCAGTCCTTGGTATCATCAATGAATTATTGAAGATGTGGTAAGTCGAGGAAAAATCACATTGTAGTGATTTATATTTATTGGACTGTTCTCCATTTCCATTCTGGGCTTTATTGCATGTAAAAGTCATCTGTAAATAGAAGAATGTCTGTATAAGGATTTGCAGACCTCCAGCTCAGCGTTCCAATCCTTTATATTTTCAGAATGTCAAAAATGGAGCCGATTTTTGATTTTTGTGTGGGGTTGTATGCCTGCTAACAGACTTAGAACTCTACACAGAATTCATGGCAATCTGGATCCAACTCTCTATCCCGACATTCTTGAACATATCTTGATGACAGAAGTATTGGACAACCATTTCTTTGACGGGCTATTTTATTTTTAACATGATAAATCCCCTATTCATCGTTCTAGCCTCGTCAAAGAATGGTTGGATCAGCAAACGTTCTGCCTCATGCCATGGCCAAGCAATCCCATTGAGAACGTTTGTGTCTCGTCTGAAAATGACATCAATTACAACAGAGGCATACGAAATGCAGACGAGCTATAGGATGCCGCAATGTCATCTTGGCAACTCATGCAGTCTGATTCAACATTATGTGATTCTTTCGTATAATAAATGACTTATCGCATTGGAGATGTGGTAAGTCGAAGAGGAAAAATGAAATTATATTCATTTAAATTTATTGGATTGATCAACATTACCATTCTGGGCTTTGTTGCATGTAAAAATCATCTGTAAATAGAAGAATGTCTGTATAAGGGTTTGGAGACCTCCAGGTGAGCGTTTCAATAATTTATAATTTCAGAATGTCAAAAAAAGTGGCTGATTTTCGATTTCTGTGTGGGTTTGCATGTCTGCTAACAGACTTGGAACTTGTCTCTATCGCGAAATTCTTGAACATATCATGATGACAGAAGTGTTGAACAAGCATTTCTTTAACGGGCTATTTTATTTTCAACATGATAAATCCTACATTCATCGTTCTACCTCGTCAAAGAATGGTTGGATCAGCAAACGTTCTGCTTCATGCCATGGCCAAGCAGAGGAGCAGATCTGAATC